TCTTTAATATGCGGGTGAGTGGCTCTGTTAGATATGACAGTCGATCAAAACGGCAAATATTCAAACTTTCTCTATTTTCTGTCATAAAGAAATCCATTTTATAAATACAAAAGATAACCCCAAACGTAATAAAATATTATTTCCACACATATGTGAGCCGTGTATAGCTTAATCATCCATAGTACAAGCGGATGGGGGCACTTAAAAACATAATTAAAAGACAATTAGCAATTCAATTTGCGTTTGGTGGTCGTGATGCTTTTGTGAGAAATATATCACAATATCAGTCTTTTAGTTATGTGTGTGGATGTTGTTTTACGCCACACCAAACAATTTGACGACGGTTTGTAAATAATCGAGTCTAGACCAGACAATCCAGTGATTGACCTCATGAGCGTCGATCTACGCACTTGGGATATTATGACGCATCAACCAAGTCTGACTACCGATCCCGTTAGTCGCCCTTTACGACAAGCATGGGTTGCTGTAGAACAATTCTAAAGCCGATCTTCACGGGTAGTGTTTTAGTTTTCGGTATATGTGCCACTGGACGAGCTGGTGAATCTCTCAGTCCCAGTGATACGTGGCAGTGGTGACTCGATACTTCACACCGCGACACGAAAAACACATTGTCGTATTATATATTTTTTATGGCAGAATCCATAAAAAAAATATGCAAACATGACCGCAAAAACTGAATTTATGTATTCTCAAAGACTTATTCTGACGAATTATTTATTAAAATGTGATCGAATGAGTGCATATTGTTTTACGCCCAGACAGCAATACTCCAGCCATATCACAGCTAAATGTAAGCATTTTGGACCAGACAAACCATATACTGAAATCGTGAGAAACGAACCACCCGCGTCACCAAATATTTATTGAAATCATGGTAAACATGTAATATGTTTTTACAAGCGTCATTTCTTATTATCATCTAGCTTTATATTAACTACGGCAATCGTATCTCTGTTTCTACCTACAAACCATTTTGATATTGACTTTTCGCCACAAAGAGCTACAAACTGCCCAATCGTGTTTTCCAAATAAACTCCCATTGAGGAACATACCGTCATAATGTACATAAATGGCAATTACACGAAACACTTACCTTAAAATATGTGTACTTATGTTTCCGATCCGGTAACTTTGCATCAACATGAGGCGGATGAAAATCTTCACCGATCCGGTTTCCAACTCGATAAGTAAATATATTGTTGCTCGATCTAAATTGTAAGTACTCGTATTTGGAGGCAAGTTTCTTTAGTGAATCATGCTGCATTTGTCGTTAGGTGACGACGCATATACTTTGCTGGAGGATATAAAGAGCGGAGAAGATTTGGATCGGAAATGGATACGGAAAACACGACGTGACTGTCCGTGTGTCTGTGTAGCGACAACTCAAATTCACGATCGTTTGTCGTGAGCAGTGCAGGGGTACCGTCACCGCAGCTAGCTTCATATCTAGAGATTTGTATGGCGCTTCAAGCACAGGTAGACGTTCCTGTCTCGAGAGAACATTATTCGATCATGTCGCGCACACGCAACACCACAGGGTTAAGCTGTCCATGCTAAACCGGAAGTTGGTAGGTAGCAACTACCATTTTCTCGCTGGACAGTAAAATGTGATTTCACCCGAGCACTTGAAGCATGATTTAGACAAGTTTTTAGCCCTTTTACTTAATATTTTGAAATAAATTGGACTATATCACGCACCGAAGCCTGTCTAAGGGTTTCCGGACCAGACACCAAAGGCTGGAGCTGTTGTAATCATGTCACTCGACATAGAGGAGGTTGACTATAGGACAGCCATAGACATTGTCACACTGTCACGTGGACAGTTTCTTGTCTCAATTTTTATCCATAGTTCTAAATGTAAAATAGAGTCAGTGTCACTGGTCTCTTATATTTCTAGTTCAAGTGGATAAAATAAGTAGCTATTTGACCATGGTTCATTGACATCAGATCTACGATATTCCCCAAGCTTAAATTGAACGTCTTGGCCAATATCCTTGTTTGATTTTCCAGTCCGAGCAGTAATTCCGATCAATATGCATCAAGAAACTGTTCAACCTAAATCCCGTATCCCTAAATTTCACACATATGTCATCGGTTAGGAAGTCCAGCATTTCACATACTGTTTTCTCACTGACATTTCAATTTAGACAATTTGTCCCGAATCTCTGAAGAGAGGGACGTTTAGTACACTAACGTCCCGTTGAACAAGGAATGAAGTTTCTTGAGGGTATCGTGTGGGATGGGGGGGTGTGGGGGGGTGGTGGTGGGTGGGGGGGGTGAGTTTGGGTGTGGGTGTGTGTGTGTGTAAAAACATAGAATGTTTATAGATAAAATTCAAGCACACACATTGATTTTTTGAGAATCTACATGATATTAATTCCACAGTATTCCTCAAATACTTTCTGTGAACATAAGAAATAAGTCCTTCCTTATAATTAATTGTATTGGGTTTTAGAGTCGGGTCAAAAGTTCAAAGTACTGAAACCTGGTTTTGGCAGATGTTAACATACTTCCCTTATATTAGTAAGGGGTATTATTTCATATGTCACTTGTGTCGAGTTCTGTCGTGCGTCTGTAGTACCAATTTGACGTTATTCGTGTTCAGTCAGAACCATGGACATCGAGGCAATTAATAAGTCACGTGTGTCACTTAACACTAGTCCCTCAGCTTCAAGCAAATCAAATGGAAACATGATTTACTGTGTGAATCTTGTCTGAAGACGTACAAATCTTAAAATGGCCTATCACTGTATGTGAAAAGAATCCACTGTACATTGTGTTACATATCACTAGATATTTGCATCACACTTATGTTTGCCCTGTGCTCATGTCCATTCTTTTACCTTTCAGTGCTAAATACCCCGGCCGCCCGTTTGCCCAGTGTCTGACTTACTTACTTATATTGGAGATTTTACGTGCGCTTTCCGACTGCAACGTATTTCGCACACGGGCCCGGCCAAGCCATTTAATGTGTTTCCGAAAAGGGGGAAACGTTGTTTGGCAATCCAGTAGGGGTGTTTTAGTGGTTGCTTATATAGAATTTTGGAAATTTGGAAATTTGGAAAAAATGCCAAGAGGGTTTGGGGGACGAATTAAGGCACCTGAGTATGGAAGTTTGTTAGTTTGATTATGTGGTCTGGTTTTGGTAGTTTATTGGGGTTTTAAATGCGATTTATTAGTCCTGTTTTGATTAAGTATACGCCTAAGGCTTTGATTTTTTCTATTTTATTTTGTGGGTTTAGGATTGCTTCTAGAGTAAGAGCCTTATTTAGATTCAGGGTGGTTTGTAGTGTAGTTCGGTGTGTTAGGTAGTGGATGCAGTGTATGAGTGCGTGTTCTGGGGTTTCTTGTTGTTTGCAATGTGGGCAGGTTTCTGTTGCGTGTTTTCTTATTATTTTGAGGTGGTTATTTAGGTTGGTATGTCCTGTTTGGAGTTTTTTGGACGGATGTATAATTTTTGGTTTGGTTAGAGGTTTTTTGAGAACCTTTTTGATTTGGCTATTTGAGTTTTGATATAGGTTTAATTTCTGATTTGGAGATGGGTAGGTTTAAGCTTATTTCTGGGATTTTAAGGGATAGTTTAGCTGCTTTATCGGCGTTTTCATTGCCGTATATCCCTACGTGGGCGGGTATCCAAATGAATACTACTTGTTTGCCTGCCTTAGTGAAATCGTTTGAGCTTTTTAGTATCTGATTTATTAGTTCAGGGCGGTTTTTTGGTGTTTTTATTTTGGAGGGCTTGTAGTCCACTGAGCGAGTCGGTAAATATTAGGATTTTTTGTTGTTTTTTAGATTGTTGATTCTGAAGGGCTGAGGCCATGCCCATTAGTTCGGCCGTGAATATTGAATGATTGTTTGGGAGTCGGTAGGATTGTGTGGCTTTAGTTGGTTGTGTGATGTAGACTCCGAAACCTGTGTGTTTGGAGATCGGATCTGAGGATCCGTCTGTGTAAATGTGACACCAATTTGGCCAATTTTCATGTATGTATGCTTGTGTGGTGGTTTTTGCTATGTTTTGGTCGGTTTGTTTATTTCTTGTGCTAGCTAGTGTTATGTCTTTTTCTGGGTGTTTTAAGTTTTGGGGTGAAGATATTTAATTTTTTACAGTTTTGTTTAAGATTGTTAATTTGGTGTTCATTTAAGTAATTGGTTATTCTTTGGGATATTGGAGTAAGTAGAGGGTGTTTTCGAGCTATGCCTTGGTTTTTGGGGATTATATTTTTGTTTTGCCCAGTGTCCATTGCCTATTACTTATCTATGATAACTTAAGTACTGGCTTCCATACCATCAGCGCGAATTACTGTAAAGTGTTGGCTTCCATTGTCTATTGCTAGACACCTATCGGCGCCAATCATCTGTTGGCTTCCCTTGTTAGTTTATACCCTTTGTTATTTTCCACCTTTTGTTGTTCTTACATGTCCTTACCTGTACATATATATGCTCTCTGCCTCATGGCATCCATTCACCCGATGAAGGAGTAGGCATATACTCCGAAATGTTGTGTTCCTCATAATAAAGAAGTTGACATCCATATATTCTCTTCTTCACACAAATGATGCACATTGATACAAACCCTAAAATATCCTAATGAAGCTAAAAATGACACAAACATACGCTAGGGTTGTGGTATCAGTTTTTTTTTGTTAAAGACGGGATATTATATTTTCGGGAAAAAACAATCAACTGTCAGACTGGAGAAACACCATCTCAGTAAAACAACAAATGACCTTCCCTTTTGGTAGTTGCCGGCAGAAAACTAGTGCAATTAAAAAATACCTTCGCACTAGATTGCTGAAGGTCAGAGAGACAACGGCACTTTTATCGGAATTCTTTATCGGTGTAAGAATTTTTTACATATCATGTAACAAAAACATTATGTAAACACATCCAGCCCTTAATCTGTGTATTAACGTTTGACTTGTGCATGCGTCATCGTAGGAATCGCGAACATTGGCGAGAATCTGCGAGAGTTATCGTGATCTGCCTGGTGTCCTGTAATGCCCCAACAATGGCAGTGAAAATGGTAAGTTGTAGAGCCGCGAGGGCCTCGTTTGGGTTAAGTGTCGTCTTATTAAGATGTGGAGCAACGTGTTGTGGACGTTAACACAACGGGAAGCCGATATACTTTGACATGGTGCTGACACACCATTCAACGAAGTTAAAGCGGATAAGATATTTGAACTCATTCCGCAACCTACATCACGCCTCGCAATCGGTAAACCTCGCCCTTTTTCGTAACCTTAGACTCGGCTGTGAATGTAGGAAATTGTGCGAGTGTGGCTTTACAGTAAACAGGCTTCCGCCTAAACACATTCGCGGATGTACATATTTTGCGCGTTAACTGTTCATCTGTGATTAAATGTCGTTAGTTTTATGCATGCGTAGTTACTATATAGAAGTTTGTAATCTTAAATATATTCAAAAGATGCTTGTGTACTACAACATTTTGAAAATATAGGTACTACAACATTTTGAAAATATAGTTCCAACATGGTGACTGTTAACAAAGGCACGCTGGGGCCTGCATTGGAGTGACCATGGCTAGCAGTGACTAAACATATAAGTGATCTATCGACCTTCATAATTACATGACACCATAGCGATGACACGAGGAGGGTAACGAGGGTGTCACGCGCTGGGGGCAGCTTGGAATGTTGACAGCTAAGGGACGCAACTCTGTCCAGCGAGTTGCGACGTGTGGAACCAACCTGTGCGCCGTGTTATGGTATGAAATAGTTAACGAGGAATGTCATCTTAAACACACTATTGCACATGACAGTGATGTAATTCAAGACAATAACCATGTCTGGGTTACAGTTACTATTGTGTGCACTACACGTTCATCACGTGACCACCGACAACGTCATGAGTAGCGTCCTCAACAACACCCACAACTCTGGCAGCAACATCATCGGCATGGAGGTTCGGATTCGCAGAGCCACCAGTGAGTTTTCTGTTTTTCTCTTTGCCGCGAGTAAGTGAGTCGGGTTTAACGCCGCTATTAATAGTATTTCAGCCCTATTTCAGTGTGGGGTGGTCGGGTAGCCTTGTGGTTAACGCGTTCGCTCTTCACGCCGAAAACCCGGGTTCGATTTCCGACATAGATACAATGTGTGAAGCCCATTTCTGGTGTCCTCCGCCGTGATATTGCTGGAATATTGCTAAAAGCGGCGAAAAACAATACTCACCCACTCACGCACTATTACCGCGTGTCAGCTTGATGTGGGAGGAAAGCCCGAAGTGATACAGGTGTCACCCGTTTACCACTTTGGTGAAATCCACGAGCACGGGTATGGTGCTGTTGTTTGTTTGGTTTGTTTGTTGTTTAACGCCGCACTCAGCAATATTCCAGCTATATGACGGCGGTCTGTAAATAATCGAGTCTGGAGCAGACAATCCAGTGATTGATCAACATCGATCTACGCAATTGGGATCGATGACATGCATCAACCAAGTCAGCGAGCCTGACCACCCGATCCCGTTAGTCGCCTCTTTGGACAAGCACACTCGCCTGTTACGGCAAGCCTGGGTTGCTGAAGGCCTATTCTAATAATTCGAATAATTAATGAGAATACATGGTTATTGTGGATGAATGACCTGTCTGTTTCTTCATTTGTTTTTCCGTAGCATCAATGAAGCTAGTTGGGGGTCAATGGCCTTGGGAGGGACGGCTCGTTATAACGGGAGCTGACGGGAATCACGGATCCATGTGTGCCGAGATGTTGACAAAAAACGACAGGAACGTCATATGTAAACACTTGTTCTACCAGAGATAGTGAGTATACTACATAGTACGTCATATGTAAACACTTGTTCTACCAGAGATAGTGAGTATACCACACAGTACGTCATATGTAAACACTTGTTCTACCAGAGATCGTGAGTATACTACACAGTACGTCATATGTAAACACTTGTTCTACCAGGGATAGTGAGTATACTACACAGTACGTCATATGTAAACACTTGTGCTACCAGAGATAGTGAGTATACTACACAATATGTCATATGTAAACACTTGTTCTACCAGAGATAGTGAGTATACTACACAGTACGTCATATGTAAACACTTGTTCTACCATAGATTGTGAGTATACTACACAGTACGTCATATGTAAACACTTGTTCTACCAGAGATAGTGAGTATACTACACAGTACGTCATCTGTAGAAATATGTTCTGTGATAGTGACTGACTGACTCACTGAGTATGGTTTTACACCACTTTTAGCAATATTCCAGCAATATCATGGCGGAGGACACCAGAAATGGGCTTCACACATTGTACCCATGTCGGGAATCGAAGCCGGGTCTTCCGCGTGACGAGCGAACGCTTTAACCACTAGGCTACCCGACTGCCATCTGTGATAGTGAGTGTAGCTATTTAATTCTTATATTTAATTTAATTTTGATCAGTTTAGTTATCGCAAATGTAAGAGTCATTATCTGTTTATGGGTGTGTGAATTTAAAAACACAATACGCCACGAGTGAGTGAGTGAGTGAGTAGGGTTTAACGCCGCTTTAACAGTATTCCAGTTATATCACGGCGTGTCAGCTTAATGTGGGAGGAAAGCCCGAAGTGATGCAGGCCTCAGACGTTTACCACTTCGGTGAAACCCACGAGCACGGGTATGGTGCTGACAAACCTAGAAACATAATCGGGGCGAACCGGGATTCGAACCCATAATCATAGGTTTCTGGCGTGCCCAAGGGACGCAACTCTGCATAGCGAATTTCGGCGCCTTAGACGACTGGGCCGCCCGTGCCCCCACGTCACGTGTAATAATCCATAATTTATTCAACCGAACGTACGAATGGCGTCAACTTTACAGAAGTACGTCACAAAGTATCCTAAAGTAGGGTGTAATGACACGCGTGACAGGTGTGTACATTACTTATTCGGGGTGGTCGGGTAGCCTAGTGGTTAAAGCGTTCGCTCGTCACGCCGAAGACCCGGGTTCGATTCCCGACATGGGTACAATGTGTGAAGCCCATTTCTGGTGTCCCCCGACGTGATATTGCTGGAATATTGCTAAAAGCGGCTTTAACCCATACTCACTCACTCACTCACTCATTACTTATTCTGAATTCCATGTCTGTTTTTCAGTAATATGTTTGGTTACCCGGCCAACTCGTCCATCTTTGGCGGTGACCTTGACCCCAGAGTGCTCAACGTGGCCCCGAAGTGCACAGGTTATGAAAGTGACGTTACAGACTGTCCCGGGTTCGCTTCCATCTGGTCCGACAGGACTGTGTGCAACCAGGGAGAGGCAGCCATGTTGTGCATTTGTAAGTTTAAGTTAAATACCGTCTTGCGTTTCTCAATTTCTTCTGATTATTCATTATTTAATTCACTCAGTGTCTTTGCAAATATTGCCCATTTTCGATATTTTCGCAAGGATGCAGTCCATTTTAAATACATGTTCTATAATCATTGAAAGGGTCACGTGTCTAGATGTACGCATTCGAGTGCGGTAACCCCCTGTTTTGAAGTGGGTTGTCCAACTATGCTGAGAGGTTACTTGTGATGCGCATGGGCTGTGGTAACCACTTAATCAGATCGAATAATGAAATATACGCTGAACAGTATCCTTATATTGGCGTTATTTGATGGTTTGGACCGGGGCGTCCAGTCCTGGATCGCGTCCCTGAATCTGATTATATTTCTAGGTTTGTCAGACTATACCGTGGTCTGGATTTGTACCAAAGTGGTAAACGTCTGTTTTATGTAAATGGATTACTGTTGAAAGCGGCCTTTAACCTCACTCACTCACTCACTCACTCACTCACTCACCCGGCCACTCACTCACTCACCCGGCCACCCACTCACTCACTCACCCGGCCACTCACTCACTCACTCACTCACCCGGCCACCCACTCACTCACCCGGCCGCTCACTCACTCGCTCGCTCACTCACTCACTCACTGCAGCTGACGCGGACATTATCTTCACGCACCCCTGGCATCAGCCTGTGACAGCAGGACGGCCGGAAGTGTATTTGTACGGGTCCTGGGGGACTATATGTACCAAGGGAATTACACAGAGGGAGATCACCATGCTGTGCACCTTCAATGAGTACTGGTGAGTGGCTAGGATATCTATTAATCTCCTGCAAGTGTCACAGGACGTTTTTGAAAATGCTTCATTTAATTATTTCATACTTCTAAAACGTATTTCTGTGTGCCAGGACAGCGTTTGGTAAACTGGTTTCCGCTAACCAGTTCGGGCGCAGCAACCACCCAACTAAAATTCAGAACCTTCACTGTAACGGCGACGAGCCGTCCATTGACTACTGCACGTGGGAGAACAGCACGTGCGGCCATAACCAGGACGTTGGGATCTCGTGTGAGAAGCGGCACATCGGTACACTACTGCTCACGAATAACTTCCTCTAGTTCGCCATCGAGATGCGACATGATCCAAGATTTCTAGGGGAAAAGGTGTCAAGGGAAGGAGGGGGGTATATGTGATAATGTTACCCAATTCATATGAAGGGGACATCTATAAAGGGAATATATATCATGTGTCCAAGTGGAAAATAAAGGGAATGGTGCCCAAGGTGGATGATATAGTGAAAGTTATTCAGGGGGAAGGCGTCTAAAGAGAAGATACAGGCGAAGGTCTCAAAGAGGAAAGGGTCATAGCTAATGAAGATAGGGAGTAAAGCGTCACAGGTAATTAACATACGGAGGAAAGTGTCAAAGAGGAAAGTGTCAAAGGTAATTAAGATACAGAGGAAAGTGTCAAAGGTAATTAAGATACGGAGGAAAGTGTCAAAGAGGGAAGTGTCAAAGGTAATCAAGATACGGAGGAAAGTGTCAAAGAGGAAAGTGTCAAAGGTAATTAAGATACGGAGGAAAGTGTCAAAGAGGAAAGTGTCAAAGGTAATTAATATATGGAGAAACGTGTCAAAGAGGAAAGTGACAAATGAAAGATACTTAGGAAGGTGTTATAAGGAAGGATCTCATGTAGGTAATCACCGGGTGTGGGAACAGTAAGGCTAACACCTTGACATGTTGCAGACAGCCATGACATCACCCTGACGGGGGGAGCACAGCCGTGGATGGGCCGGTTCGAGGTCCATCTCACCAACAGAAACATCACAGCATCAGTGTGCAGTGGGGACATGTGGTTCTCCCCGACAGACGCTGTCCTCGTCTGTCGGAGTATTGGATTCAGGTAGTGGATAGTTGATCGAGAGGTAGTTCATTGATATATTGGTATCCATTATAAACAGTAAATAATATTAATAATAATATGATCATTCAATGCGCTCAATCCACACCCAAATGCAGACCCAAAGCGCTACATTACGAGGGTTGGTCAAAGCCTTCTAAGCCTATTAAACAAAACCAATAATTGTGAAAGTGTTTTAAATATTATTATTCAACATAATCTCCCTGCTTTTCAATACACCTCTGATATCGATAGTGAAGCTTTTCAATTCCAGTCAGGAAAAGGTTTTCCGAAGCCACATTCCGGCAGCTTTGAGGTCATCGTCGTCATAGAGCTTTCCTAGAAGGTGTTCTTTCAGTTTCGGAAACAGGTGGAAATCACTTGTTTCAAAGGTCTTGCGAATATGGAGGGTGATGAACCCATGTTGTCGCTTAGCAGCCTTAGCATGTAGAGAGGTGTGAGAAGAGGCATTGTCATGAAGTAGTAGAACTCCAGCAGTCAACATTCCTCGTCGTGTTTCTTTGATCTCTATGGCGATGAAGCACATCAGCATAGTAGGCACCGGTAATCGTCTTTTGACTTTCTAAGTTATCAACAAGGATCACACCCTTTGCATCCCAGAACACAGTGGCCATAACTTTCTTCACTGATCTTGAAGACTTGAATTTCTTTGGTACCGGAGAAGTGGAATGGTACCATTCCATGGATTGACGTTTTGACTCAGGATCGTAATGGTAGAACAATGTTTTATCAACCGTGACTAATCTCGTTTCGAATTTGAAGACATCCTCCTCAATTAGTTCTAAATTATCTTGGCAATGTCAGATCAGAATATAGACTCTTTGGCACCAAACGAGCAGATATTTTATTCATCTGTAAATGTTCGTGAATAATAGTTTCAATGGATCAATGTCTTAGACCTGCGTCTTCAAGTTCAGCAGTGGTAATACGTCTATCTACAGTATACGTTTTTCTTTCTCCTTGATTGAATCTTCATTGATGGAAGTTGAGGGACGTCCAGACCTAGGGTTATCATCAAGGCTTGTTTTCCCAGCCTTAAACATAGCCGCCCAACGTTTAACAGTGGAATATCTAGGCCCCTTACCCCCATACACTTGTGACATGCGGTCATGAATTTTCTCTAAAGTCAAAAACTTGATGACTGCTTTTCTATTTATTTGTCCATTTGGACCCCTACCATTTTAAACTGACTGTCACCAATATACAAATGGTCTCAACCAAATACACTTGAAAGGAACTACTCAAACAATGTACTACATTGACTAGTTGTTATGGCCCCCAGTTGAAAGTTAGTCAGGCTTAGAACTTTTTGACCAGCCCTCGTGTTACCCGTCAGTGGATCAGAGTGCAAAGAATTTTCATTCTCAGCTCCCAGGGGAGTATACAACACAAGCTGCCTGTGAGGCGCTGGAAGGTTAACGGACATTACCATCTCATCCAGCCTCGGAATCAACCTAATCACCGAGACTTATCGTGCGATCATTTACGTCCTCTTAGCATAGGGCCCGTGAAGATCCGGATTAGAATCGGTCTTCATCAACCCATGCTTGCAATAAGAGCCGACTATGCTTGTCGTAAGAGGCAACAAACGGGTTGTCAGGCTCACTTACTTGGTTGATGCATGTCATCGTGTCCCTATTGTGTCCCGATGCTCATGATATAAATCGCTATTGCCTGGTCTAGACTCGGTTGTTTACAGACCGCCGTCATATAGCTGGAATATTACTGAGTGTGGCGTTAATATTAAGCAAAACAATGTGAAGTCTAAAAATATTTTGTCCCAAAACACTGCATCCCCAGAGGTGTGTACACATTATGCTTGGGTGTGTAATACAGTAGATATTGTTGCCAGCAAGGTATATTTTAGGTAGCCAAAATGGCGAGCAGTAGATCACATTAGGTCACTGCTCACTGGTACCGTTCACTGCTGTGAACAGGGGCATATGTCGAACAAAGTCACCTGCCTAATGAGGCATGGCGTGTAACATGTGCTCAGTGTGGGGCAGGACCCAAGCCATAGACACTCGCAGAACATGGTCACCCACCAACTGCTCTAGGCGACCAACTTCGCCTGTGACCTTTGTACTGCACTAAGGACCCTGTGCCATCAGTTAAGTCTGTGTGTTGTTTGTTTGTCAGCTATAGTCCAGCCATATGACGACTGCATGTAGATAATTCAGTCTGGATCTGAAAATCGAGCAACGACCGACGCAGTGATACGATGACATGCAAGGAACCAAGCCACCGAGCCTTACCTCCGAATCCATTTGGACGCATCTAACGACTAGCATTCTAACCCCGAATACCCATGGGGAACTAAGGTCTTTTAAGACAATGTTTAGCATTTTATCTGATAACTTCGGATATTCGTACTCCGGGGTGGTGTATGATGGTCCCCATTACTTCGAATTAAAGAGAATAAACTTAATTTACTCTACGAATCGCTCGTAGACGGATTATCGAGCAATTCATAAACTTACCTCTCTTACTCACTGTTCTCAGTATAAGTTTACGTTATTGACAAATGAAGGTTTTTTTCTAATTCTCCCCTTATACCACCAGTAGTGGGGGGAAATCTCTACCCCCTATGGCTGTGTCCCCCTCAGCACCCCACATCATGGAACAGCTGTACTGTGTCGGGTTCGAGTCTAACATTGGGGAGTGCGCTGGCAAGTGGATCCGGGAGAGTCTCGACTGCCCCACCTTTCCGCCACTGGTGGGGGCTGTGGACTGCACCCCTGGTAGGTCTTTAGAGGGGTGGGGGCTGTGGACTGCACCCCTGGTAGGTCTACAGAGGGGTGGGGCTGTGGACTGCACCCCTGGTAGGTCTGTAGAGGGGTGGGGGCTGTGGACTGCACCCCTGGTAGGTCTACAGAGGGGTGGAGGCTGTGGACTGCACCCCTGGTAGGTCTACAGAGGGGTGGGGGCTGTGGACTGCACCCCTGGTAGGTCTGTAGAGGGGTGGGGTCTGTGGACTGCACCCCTGGTAGGTCTGTAGAGGGGTGGGGGCTGTGGACTGCACCCCTGGTAGGTCTGTAGAGGGGTGGGGGCTGTAGACTGCACCCCTGGTAGGTCTGTAGAGGGGTGGGGGCTGTGGACTGCACCCCTGGTAGGTCTGTAGAGGGGTGGGGGCTGTAGACTGCACCACAGCAATGGAGTAGTGATATTGCATGGATTTCCTGTAAACCGCGTAACGCCAGATCACGCCGCATATAGTTCCTATAACCGACTGTGCTTTGAAGACAGGCTTTACGCTGCATAACAGAAATTTGTAAGCAAACTGACACAATTTGATATGTTATATAAGGGTCACGTCTGCCACCGGGTTGTGTCACGTTATAGTCACGTCAGGAAATTAGTTCCAATATGGATTCCTACCACTGCTGGCTGAGATCCGGAGATTGGGCTGAGTCGACCCAAATGTGTAAAGTCTAGTTTCGGATTACACCGACTGAATATAGAATGTAAAATAGATCTATGTTTTCAAGCTCGGATCCTCGTCCCACTAAGCGGTCTTGGCGCTAGACGATCGTGACTAACACACTCTATTTAGACTTCCGGCAATCGCAGGGCTAAGATCACTTATGGAACAGTCCCTGCTCATGTTCTTTATGGTAATACTCAACAAAGAAAAGCGGACACCATCCAGTTTATGACCATTCATAAACATGTTAAACATTATTTGTAACATGGGTGCACGAGTGGCCCAGTCGTCTAAGGCGCCGCGATACGCTGTGCAGAGTCGCGCCCCTTGGGCACGCCAGAAACCTATGATTGTGGGTTCGAATCCCGTTTGCCCCGATTATGTTTCTAGGTTTGTCAGCACCATACCCGTGCTCTTGGGTTTCACCGAAGTGGTAAACGTCTGAGACCTACATCACTTCGCGCTTTCCTCCCACATTACGCTGACACCCCGCGATATAACTGGAATACTGTTAAAAGCGGCGTTAAACCCAACTCACTCACTATTTGTTACAAAACCTTAATGAATTGTTCTTCTCTTTAACAGAGGGTTTGGAGGTCAAGGTCACTTCCGGAAAGTTGCCATTTGAAGGAACAGTTCAAATTCTTTCAAACGGACACTGGTCAACTGTGGACAGTACCTCCTTGAACGAGAACGAGGCTAAGGCTATTTGTTCCACAATGGGCTATCAGTGAGTGATGATATACATGTAGTTATATCACTGCCACATGTACACCCATGCGGACTTAGTTCCATTATCCATCATACCATTTCATTGGAATAAACCTTCCCATCTCACACCAATTCCGGGGCGGTCGGGTAGCCTAGTGGTTCAAGCGTTCCCTCGTCACGCCGAAGACCCGGGTTCGATTCCCGACATGGGTACAATGTGTGAAGCCCATTTCTGGTGTCCCCCGCCGTGATATTGCTGGAATATTGCTAAAAGCGGCGTAAAACCATACTCACTCACTGCTACATCAAGCTGACAGGCCATCATAAAACTGAAACCCTGTTCATTCACTCATACAGCATACACGTAAAATGACAGAAGAAATTATTAAAAGAAAGAAATTCTGCCATGAAATGACGATTTGTTTAAAAAAAAATCAATACTTCACAAACTCAACAAGACATATTTTTACAATTCAACATGACTTTTTATCTTATGACATATCTTCATTTTTTAGGAATGATAGATTACATATACATTGCATTTTAAGTGTTTAAAATACCCGCCTGAGGCGGACAGTCTTCGACAGTCATTTTGCTAACGGACGGTTTTGAAAAGTTCCACACCCGATGGTCGGTGGTGAAAATGACTAAGTTGACAGTCCACCAGCTTATTGTCTGAGAACGAACATTAAATAGTACTATTTTTATGTTTACCCTTTTGTTACTTCTGTCCGTTAGTCAAGCAAATTCCGGACTTTGCAATGTTGCTAGTCTGGTTGTCTGACTGAAAGTTTGGGGAATTGTATTCACTGAATTTAAAACAATGTGCAGCATTCCACGTTATGAACAAACAAGTGTTGGGTGATTTTGCCTAGGGACACAACTCCTCACATATTTCCGGCGGATCACTTCCATGTTCCTGGGAATCTTCCGATTGTATCCCTACATTGCCAGAGCCACGCTTTCCACATCGGGCAATGTGACATCAAAGGTGCCGCAAATCACAACGCACAGCATGCTGGGATACAGTGTTTCGGTGAGTAGGATATAAATGTCGGGACACATATACCATTCAAATAGATTTTTATTACATTTCGCATCCTATTTTACATTACAATGTCATACATAAAGTGTCATTTGACTAGTTGTTACATTTATCATAATTATTCTATTTATCATAGTTGATACAGGGTTTCTAAATGATATATGTAAAGGAGACCAAAAGGCTTGGAAACTTGCATAATTACAATGTGAACATGCAATAATTGTGTAATTTCATATTATCTAGTATATCGAACCCCCGACCTTCCGCTCTCCGGGCGGACGATCTACCACTAGACCACGGAGGCGGTCGCAGCTTACATAGACATGTCAACAAAATACATATACAAACATGTATAAAGAAAACAAAATAATAATGCAAATGCATTTCTCTACTTCTCTTCTCTCTTGTCTGTCTGACCGCCTCCGTGGTCTGGTGGTAGAGCGTCCGCCCGGAGAGCGGAAGGTCAGAGGTTCGATCCCCGGTGTTTCAATACCCGTAGGTTGTAAACAGTACCACTAGATTGTGTTCAATACCCGTAGGTTGTAAACAGTGCCACTAGATTGTGTTCAATACCCGTAGGTTGTAAACAGTGGCCCTAGATTGTGTTCAATACCCGTAGGTTGTAAACAGTACCACTAGATTGTGTTCAATACCCGTAGGTTGAAATCAGTACCCCTAGATTGTGTTCAATTACCGTAGGTTGTAAACAGTACCACTAGATTGTGTTCAATACCCGTAGGTTGTAAACAGTGCCCAAAGATTGTGTTCAATACCCGTAGGTTGTAAACAGTACCCCTAGATTGTGTTCAATACCCGTAGGTTGAATTCAGTACCCCTAGATTGTGTTCAATTACCGTAGGTTGTAAACAGTACCACTAGATTGTGTTCAATACCCGTAGGTTGTATACAGTGGCCCTAGATTGTGTTCAATACCAGTAGGTTGTAAACAGTACCCCTAGATTGTGTTCAATTACCGTAGGTTGTAAACAGTACCCCTAGATTGTGTTCAATTACCGTAGGTTTTATACAGTACCACTAGATTGTGTTCAGTACCAGTAGGTTGTAAACAGTACCACTAGATTGTGTTCAATACCAGTAGGTTGTATACAGTACCACTAGATTGTGTTCAATACCAGTAGGTTATATACAGTGCCCCTAGATTGTGTTCAATTACCGTAGGTTGTAAACAGTACCACCAGATTATGTTCAATACCCGTAGGTTGAATTCAGTACCCCTAGATTGTGTTCAATACCCGTAGGTTGTATACAGTGCCCCTAGATTGTGTTCAGTATCCCCAGAGTGTATTCAGTACACCTGGGTTGTTCTCAGTACCCTAAGGTTGTATTTTAACGATTAAGCAGAATTTGTAGACTATTGGATATCCTACGATATCATCTAATTTTCACCAGGATCTTCTAGAAAGTACAAACGCGTCATTGTTTGTGTAGACTGCGGTCTTCAATACTATGGCCACGACACCGGGACGATAACGTCAGACAACTACCCCTCGGCTGTGAACAGCGACGTGGACTGCCTGTACCACATCAGAACTACGGGCCACCATCCAAAATACAGATTCTACTTCTCCGATCTTCATCTCGGCAATGATGACCACGTGACGGTGAGTCCCTGAGAATGATGCAACCACCAGGATTTGCCTTCACGTGCTTTGTTCACGTGCTCGACTGAAACCGGACCTTCCAATAACGAGCATGAGCACTTTCATATGACGTCTTTGCGCGTCACAACTATGTCGCTTAACATGGGAAGAAAACCCGAAAAGATGAAGGTCTGAAACGTTTGTCCACATGATGCTCGCGAGCACGGGTGTGGAATTGACAAACCGAAAATGAGGGCGAATCTGGGATTCAGACCCAAGATAATAGGATTCTGGCATACCTAAGGGACGTAACTCTTCACGGCGAATTGCAGCACCTCAGACGCCTATGTCCCCAGTATCGGTCGAGAAGCTATATGACTTTTAACAGAGGGCCCCCATAAAGCTGTAGTTATGAGTGAGTGAGTGAGTGAGTGAGTTGGGTTTAACGCCGCTATAAACAGTATTCCTGTTATATCGTCAGCTTAATGTGGGAGGAAAGCCCTAAGTGATGCAGGTCTCAGACGTTGACCACTTCGGCGAAACCCACGAGCACGGGTATGGTGCTGACAAAACTAGAAACATAATCGGGGCGAACCGGGATTCGAACCCACAATCATAGGTTTCTGGCGTGCCCAAGGGACGCAACTAGCGGCGCCTTAGACGACTGGGCCACCCGTGCCCCATTGTAGCTATGAGATTGTCAGATGCACATACATGCCTATGTTTCAAGGATATTTATTTTGGTTGTTTATTTGTTGTTTAAGGTCGCACTCGCATTATTCAAGTTTTATGGTGGCGGTAAATACCGAGTCTGGAACAGACAATCCAGTGATTGACATCATAGGTTTGTTTCAAGCTAAAAACACCAACCATCAGTACGTTAGCCTTGTGGTTATAAGAGCAGGCTCATTTGTATTTAATTATCCAGCTCAGCGTTTTACCCAAACTATTTCTTTGGAGTTGTTTATCATATAACACAAACCATGACACACCGATATCGCCTGACACAGATCCGCGCGGACCCCATGGAGCCTATCATGACGTCCTTCTCGGCCAACCAGGGGCCTACCGAAGTCTTCTTCACCAAGGATCTGTACATTAGATTCAAGGCCCACAAGGGCGCCAAGTTCCAGTTCAAATGGGAAAGTATGTATACAAAACAAACAAAATCCAACTCTATAAAAACAGACCAGATGGTGTCCTTATGGCTGAAGCGTTCACTCGACATCCATCTTCCCGAGGCAAGGGAGTGACTGTAAAAGTCCACTTTCCATCCTTGGAGAACTAGGCGGGAATTCCGCGGTAACATTTTGATTGGACGAACGAGTCTATGCATAGTGCAATCAAAATCGGACAACGAACAATCGGTTCGTAAACAACTTGGATTTTCAACCTGCACATTTCCGTCGACTGCAAAAGCTTTTGTACCGATTTGAAATTTGACTCTTTTAATTTGAATAGTGTAATGTTTCTTTGTTCAGTGTTGTTTTTGCTATCATCATTAGCACTTTAAAAGTTATTGTTGCCGTTGGCGGCAATTATTGTTTTTGATACCAATATTACTATTATTATTATTAATTAATTAAGTAGTATTTTTTATTATTATTATTATTATTATCATTATTATTTATATTACTATTATTCTTAGCAATGGTATCAATACTCATTATTATATATTTATAGCTTATACGGACGGTCATGAGGAACTTGAAAAAGCAGTCGCCATACAGTGTAGCCCGGATGCCATCAAAGCTTCTGTTGATCTGCCCAAACTCAAGGCAGTGTTTGACAGTACCGATCCCTCTCATCTATCTCTCGGCGACGTCACGTGTACCGGTGTAACCCAGGGCAACACATGGTCAGCTAGTGCACGCCTCGGCTCCTGCAAAACGCAAAGACAGGCCAGTATATACAACCCGATACCCACATCCACGCAACACTGTAATTAAAGTACAGTAAACTACGTTCATAACGAACACGCTTATAACGAACTGACGGATATAACGAACTTATGTTTAGTCCCGACCATTTGTTGTATATTTGCTGTATGTATGCATATAACGAACTACGGTTATTACGAACTAAAATTGGTGGTCCCCTCGAGTTCGTTATAACCGTAGTCTACTGTATAGATCTTTGTATAATGTTCTGTTTCCAATTGATCACGTTGAGGAGATTTAAGTCGCCGTAAAAGTTGCCCTACATACAGGTGAGCAATGGTCTCCCCCCCCCCCCCCCCCAGACGATCAAACCATATTATTGAACCTATGCTGATGTTTGTTTGTTTGTTGTTTAACGTCGCCCTCAGCATTGTTCCAGCTATATGACGGCGGTCTGTAAATAATCGAGTCTGAACCAGACAACTCAGTGATTGATATCATGAGCATCGATCCACGCAAATGGGATACGATTACACGCATCAACCAAGTCAGCGAGCCTGACCACCCGATCCCGTTAGTCGCTTCTTAGGACTAGAATAGGTTGCTGAAGATCAATTCTACCCTGGATAATCACGGGTCCTATGCTGATCGTATGAGGACGTAAAGGATCGCATGATCAGGCTCGGTGATTTGGTTGATTACGTGCCATCGTATCAAACGGCGTGAATCGTTGCTCATAATATCAATCACTGGATTGTCTGTTCCACACTCGATAATTTATAAACCGGCGTCATAAAGCTGGAATAATGCGGCGTTAAAAAACAACCCAACAAATTCAGACCTCAGGTAAACAACTCCCCGATACGTTTTTATCGGCCGTGTTATACTATATTGTACGAGTGCTTCTTTCAATGTTTATTTTCCACGTCATTACACCTGCCCACCTGCGAGTGTCGGAGATATACGCCTATCATACAGCATCGTGAACGACACGGCATCTGTTACTAGGTAGATGACGACTTCATCGTCTACAAGACCTCTGTTGTGTACAGCCTCCCCGGCACCAGCCCCGGCGACTTCATCATTCTGTGGAGCGTAGACGTCGACTGTGCATTCAAGCGAAATACCACGGTCAGGTCTTATATATATATATATTAGATTATTTCGATGAGTTGGTTCATGGTTAATTTAATTCAAAAACACAATAGTTTGAGCCTTCTGAATTCTAATAATTAATATCAAGAGTACGCCCCTTTCAATATACTGCTACTACTTCAAATAAATTGAGGTAAAATGGGGTTAACGTCGCGTTCAACATTATCGCACTTATATACCGAAGTGCGTGCGCGCGCGTGTATGTGTGTGTGTGTGTGTGTGCGTGAGTGTGTGTGAGTGTGTGTGTGTGTCTGTGTGCTAGTGGTAGTCTGGACTTACGCCGGTTTTATAGTGCTAGCAAATTCTATGCTGCAGTTTAACAAGAAATACCCCACTCAGACACAGTATACTCTCAGGCGACTAGTCCTTGTTTTAAATGCCCCTTATGCCGAGGACCAGGCAGGGCAATAACAAGTCTGGGATTGAACCATCGACCTACCGTTCCTCTGGCCAGACGATCTATGCACTAGACCACAGAGACGGTCCACACTAGCTGATGCTGGTATCTGCTACATGTCGAGCGCCAGGCAGAATAAGAACAAGTTATTGGCACATAAATGAGGCGTGAAACTCGCGCGAGCTGACATGACTTTCTATGTAGGTGTCATCAGATCTTGACGAGTCAACAATCTGATATTAATGAGACAGGAGGGGGCACGGGTGGCAAAGTCGTCTACGGCGCCGCGATTCGCTGTGCAGAGTTGCGTCCCTTGGGCACGCCAGAAACCTATGATTGTGGGTTCGAATCCCGGTTCGCCCCGATTATGTTTCTAGGTTTGTAAGCACCATACCCATGGTCGTGGGTTTCACCGAAGTGGTAAACGTCTGAGACCTGCACCACTTCGGGCTTTCCTCCCACATTAAGCTGACACGCCGCGATATAACTGGAATACTGTTAAAAGCGGCGTTAAACCCAACTCACTCACTTATGAGACAGGACAGGACATTATTCAAAACAAACTAAACTGTTTGTAGGTATTCAGCATTGAAATCTAGACCTGTACATACTACTTTAAAAACTGTTTCTATATTTCAAGGCCAAAACCAACTACTCCATCATAAGCAAGAATAACATCGTTGGTTTGAACACAACGTCCCACTACTCCGCCATCGTGAGAATTTTCAGCGACCGCGGGCTTCATAACGAGGTCAAAGGTCAGCCAATCAGAGTTAGGCTCGGAAGTGAACTGTATGCAGAAGTTGAATTCAGTGCCAACTTCAAGGCCAGCATGAGACTTTAGAGATGTTCCCTCAAAGAGAAGCTAACACAGGCGAATGGATACGACTTGATTCGGAGCGGGTAGGTGCACCAAGTACTATAAAGGTTAAGATAAGATGAGATCAAGTAATTTATTATCCCGAAGGAAATTTGAGTCACATCAGAGAAGGGTCTCAGCTTATTAATAAACACATATGAAAATAAACAACAGCATCACAAACGTAAATAACGTTAAATGTGGCACTGGCTTATAAATGCTCAACAATTATTTCTCACAAAACTTATCATAAAGCCTGGTACTAGTTGGTTTGAATATATTCCGGACCCTGTTTGTTCTCGACATCTGCAATCGTAGTGTGCGGCCAGAAGGAAGAAGTTGATACTCTGAATGCATGATGTCACTTGAATACACAATGCCATTTAGGAAGTGGTCAAATGTAACAAATGTTAGATTTGGGATAACACATATCTCGTACTTTTTGGGGGTTCAGTCCCGTTCGAACCCCGAACTCAACCCCAAAAAAGTACGAGAATCTGTACTTTACTAAGAAAGTGTCATCCCTAATATAACATTTGTTACATTTGACCATTTTCTAAATAGCATTGTGTATTCATAGCTTTCGGCCATGAGAGCCGTGCCAATTAACACTTGTCAGAGGGGTACTCAAAGTACGTGATCTAGACTACCAGATGTCGAACTTTGATTTTTGTGGAAGCCTCGGTGGCTGAGTGGGTTAGATCGCTGACTTTGTGTGTTGAGGAATAGGTGCCTCACTCTGGCAAGTGTGGGTTCGAATCCCAGACGGTTTCAACCCAAAGAAAGTACGAGATTCTGTACTTTACTGAGAAACTGTTATCCCAAATATAACATTTGTTAAAGATGTAACTTTATATTTTATTTACGTCATTAACTTTTTGCTGTTCCTAAATGCTGCCGATGTTCTGGAGAGAGTTGCCAATGGTTTATTCACCCTGTTACAGATTTTGAACAGTTTTTCTTGTTGCGAACAGACAGGTTTCCGAACCAGCTGGTGAAGCTAAAAGTCAGAATACTTAAATGTTGTATGAAATATTGACATGGTGGTGGAGTCAACTTGAAAATGCCTTAAATTACGAAGGAAATACAACATCTGTTGACCCTTATATGTAAAAATATATGTGATATGCATTTCAGACACTCGTATGTTTGTTTTGTTTGTGTATTGTTTAACTCCGCACTCAACATTTAAGCTATATGACGGGGGTCTGTAAATAATCGAGTCTGGACCAGGCAATCCAGTGATTGACATCATGAGCATCGATCCACGCAATTGGGATCGATGACATGCATCAACCATTTCAGCGAGCCTAACCAGATCCCGTTGGTCGCATTTTACAAGCATAGTCGCCTTTTAATGCAAGCATGGTTTGCATGGATCTATTCTTCCCCGGATCTTCATGGGTCTCGTGCTTTTCACCAAAGTGGTAAACGTCTCAGGCCTGCATGACTTCGGGCTTGCCTCCTACATTAAGGGGACTCGCCTGGTGTAGCTGTGATACTATTCAAAGCGGCGTTAACCCAAACTCACTTCCTCACTCATTACAAAGCCTTTAACTCCAAATATGGATAGACTGATTTACTCCAGGAGGTGTTCGACTGCAGTTTTGATAAATTGAATTTCACGTTACAGCTGCCCTGTTGACCGCGACACCAACGTCATTGCCGAGACATCTTCCGCCACGGTGTTCCACTTCAAAGCCACGGAGTTTGTAGCAGGGGTCACTTCCGTTTACCTGACCTGTGACGTGACATACTGTTTACCTAATGACACTAGTCAGGCCTGTAATCATCAGTGCAGCACGACCCAACACGGACGTAGACAAGTATCCGACTACGCCTTAAGTGTCGCCAGGGTTGCAAAGAAATTTGATATTTTCACATAAAATTGTTTCTCCAAATAAAACAAAAACTATAGTCCAACTTTATCGGAATAAAAGAACATGATAACCTATTTTGTGTGTCTCTTCTTAAACTTGTCAAAGTTAGTGAGAAAAAAACACTATATATTGTCATCATTCATCAGTGGTACAGCGATATCACGGCGGCGTGTTGTTTATCTGTTGGGTAACGCCGCACTCAGCAACATTCCAGCTGAAACACAGCGGTCTGTATAAATTCGAGTCAGGACCAGACAAACCAGTGATTGACATAATTGAGCGTCGATCTACGCAACTGGGATACGATGAAATGCATAAACCAAGTCGGCGAGACTGACCAGCTGATCATGTTTATCTCTTCGCGTCGTAAAAATTTGGGTTGGGTTTAACGCCGCTTTTAACAGTATTCCAGTGATATCACGGCGTGTCAGCTTAATGTTGGAGGAAAGCCCGAAGTGATGCAGGTTTCAGACGTTTACCACTTCGGTGAAACCCACGAGCACGGGTATGGTGCTGACAAACCTAGAAACATAATCGGGGCGAACCGGGATTCGAACCCACAATCATAGGTTTCGGGCGTGCCCAAGGGACGCAACTCTGCACAGCGAATCGCGGCGCCTTAGACGACTGGGCCACCCGTGTCGCCCGGTCGATATAAAGGCAGTGAATGGTGTCTTAAGACGCTTCTTTCGACTATAAGTGACGAAGCGTCAATAAAATATAGGAAATACCCCCATTAACTTCCATCGGTTGAGGATAAGGTGTAAAATACAACCATAACCTTGGTACATTGGTGTGTTTTTGTTGTTAAAGCGAGTGACAATTAAAGCCATGTAAGGATAATTAATATTATTAATGTTGTTAGCAACGTTCCGAGCCAGAGTACACGTCACACTGTTGATTTATTGAATTGACTGTTGTCACCCATACTGTACTTTCTACAGCTTTCGAAAGTTATTGTCGTTAGTGTTCTACAGGCAAATGTTACTTTTGATAGGAAAGTGTTCGAAATCGCCTTTATTTGAGTGCCAATAGCACGATTAAAAGGGATTCACTATGCCTTGATGACCTACTCAGGATTCAAAGTTTAAAATACAACTTTGCAAAGTTAATGAAGCTTATAAATACGATGCCACCAAAAAATAGCAAATGAGTATCAACATATCAACATTTAACACATGGCCAAAGGTGGTGAAAACTAAAATAACCTCATTATTACATAGATCCAAAGTATTCTTCATGGCACAGATATTCTAAAGGACACACCGTTCGTCAATAAATAACTTCATTTCAATTTATCGGGAATATACAGGATACCCATCACCCCCCCCTGGGTTAAAGTGGACTCTTCCGCTCAATCCTACTTAGGTGTCAGTCAGTCAGGTTGACCACTTCTAAGCCTGAAATCGCACGGTCACACAGGGCTTGTAAGTAAGCTACACTTACACACACAAATGCTTTGCAAGAACTTCACAAAATTAATATTGATGAAAGTATTGTTTGAGCATAGCTTTTTTTATTAATATCTGTGGGATGCATTCAGCATTATTTTTCAGATCCATCTGCACAAATCGAGTCTGTGGATAAAAAAAAATGGCTATTACCATTGCAAGTAAATCTCAATTTTAGTCATCTCTTACAAAAATCATCCGACACTAAACCTACTATGGTACAAGAGGAATCACCTCCTTGATGCTGGCATAGTGCCCAGTGCCATGTAAAACAAACACTTCACCAGAACGGAATAAAACACTACGACATTCCTTCACAGAAATTTCAGATGTGGTATGCTTGGATACTGGATAGCTTTGGAGAACATTGAACTGACTTTGGAAGCAATAGAATGCATTTTAACACGTTATGGTCCAAAACCAGGTAACTGACCCAACATTTCTCTTAGTCCATGTCAAAATAGCTGCAATGGAAATTCTAAAATAAACATTTCTAAAACTCCTTAATATCAAATGGCACCAGTACAGTATGTGCTTTATATACAGTCATGCAATGTTTGGCAAGGAAATATTTAACAGTTTATTTGTTATACTCCATGACTGAACCCACCCTATATTAAAACTTAAATCCAACTTGTTGCCATCGAAACGTAAAACAATATAAAAAATTAAAATTCCTAAATAGCAAAAGTTTTGTAAGAAAGTATTTAACAGTTTTTGAGTCGGAAACGAACACCACCCTAAAAGAACCTAAGTCCAACTTGTAGCCATGTAAACGTAAAAAATAAAAATTCCTAAAATTCCTAAATAGCAAAAGGCACCAGTTCAGCATGAGTCTGATAGACATACAAAGTTTTGTTAGAAAGTTTTGAATGTGTTTTGAGTTATGCTCCGGAAACGAACTCTACCCTCTCGAACCTAAGTCCAACTTGTTGCCATGGAAACGTAAAAAATAAAAATTTCTAAAATTCCTAAATAGCAAAAGGCACCAGTTCAGCATGAGTCTGTTTGACATGCAAAGTTTTGTCAGAAAGTATTTAACGTTTTTTGATTTATGCTCCGGTAATGAACACCACTCTTATAGAACCAAAGTCCAACTTGTTGCCATGGAAAAGTAAAAAATAAAAATTCTAAAATTCCTAAACAGCAAAAGGCACAACTTCAGTATGTGACTGATAGATTTGCAAAGTTTCGATCAAATACACTGAATTGTTTTCGAGTTCTGCCTCGGAAAAGGAAATGATTACGGACGGACGGACGGACGGACGGACGGACAGACAGACTGGACAGACAGACTGGCCGATCGCTATATCCCCCCACATTATATGTCGGAGGGGGGGATAAAAATAAAATGGTTGGAAATGGCTTTTTGTTTCTTGTGCAACACAGCAATCCGTAATCCAGCAGTATGACAATGGCTGGTAAATAATCAAGTTTTGACTAGAAATTCCAGAGATTGATATTATGAGCAATGATCCACGCGTTTGGTGAACATTTCAACCGAGTCATCCCGCCTGACCACCAGCTTTTGTTGGTGATGACTTCTAAGGCTGAATCACCACAGGCAGTTCGGTTTAACCTTCTTGAACCAGGCTTCAGTTGCATTACCATCTGTCAACTGGGTGTGAGAGCAAAGCCTGAAGTGATGCAGGTCTTTACCACTTTGGTGAAACACCCAAGCATGATGGTGACAAAGCTAGAACCATGGCACTGCAAGTTGCTGCACGTTTGCCGACTTGGCCCAGTGCCTCCTATTCAGCCCTGTAAGATCATATTTTGATTTGTGAGCCAAGTGGCTCCTAACATGAATATTTTAAGAGCCAAACCTACTTTTTAGACCTCAACCCTTCTTTTTCTTCAAGGTGCCAGATTGAGTCTGAGATGGTGGCATGGATTTCATAATGTGAAGTACCTGTACAGATCCGGGGTAGAATAGGTCTTCACCAACCCATGCTTTCCATAAAAGGTGACTTTGGGACTTTGCTTGTCAGAGGGGACTAACGGGATTGGGGGGTCAGGCTTGCTGACTTGGTTAACGCATGTCATTGTATCCCAGTTGTGTGGATCAATACTATTGATGTCATCACTGGATTGTGTGGTACAGACCGCGGTCATATAGCTGGAATATTGCTGAGTGCAGCGTTAAACAACAAACAAAACAATGTTAAGTCTAAAAATCTTTGGTCCCAAAATACTGCATCCCCACCTCTGTTTGCACATTTTGCTTGGGTGTGCATTACAGTAGATATTGTTGCCAGTAATGTTTATTTTTAGGTAGCCAAAGTGGTGAGCAGTAGATCACATTAGTTCGCAATCATAGATTTAAGTCGCATTGTCGACCAAAATGGTCACTTCTTAGAGGGCAGTTTGCCCAGTTCACACTTATAAAAGAGCAGCTTTATCCACTTCAAAACAGAACACAATGTGACATTTTGACAATTTTATTTACTACAGTGAACCACAATAATATTCTACCATTTACCAGATAGTTTAACTAAAATAATGAAGTCAACAAATCGCACATGATAAATAGACGGCACATAGTACCCCCCGACAGGCATGGGTACTGTCTGCCGTGTCTCTGTCAAAATTACACTTAATATAAGTTACAATGGATTTTTTTCTTTTTTTTTGAAATATCTTACAATTTTTTTAAATTTTTTTCATTGGTTGAGTATAGCTTTACATGTACATTCGTGGCAGAGAAATTCAGAGGATACAAATATAATAACCAAGGTACATTTTCATCCTAGTTCCAGGTTTCGGGTTTGAAATGCATGAAAGAATCAATAAATCTGAACAAGATAATAAACAGGGAATGTTGAATACTTGGGTCCGAAGGCAAGAAAACTAAACAAATATGTCTATACTTTCTCCAGGTAGTTTATATACAAAATTCATAAAAACAAATTCACTCGCACACCATGAATGTTATCACAATATACAAATAAACCTTCCTTCCTTCCTTCCTTCCTCTCAATCAATATAATTAAAACTGCATTTACTTCTTGGCATGGTCTAGAACAAAAACCGAAACCTGGAACCATGCAGGATTATGATTAGTGTGTGCATGGAAATCGGGACGCAGACAAATGAAGGTAAAGGGTGTAAAAGTAAAGAAACAAAAATGGTTTGTTCTCGTGACATGATGCGATGTCAATAATTCCTAAAAAAATGATATGTTCTCTTGAAAGTGGTTAAGACGGAAAATAAACACTCCCTGTAATACGTTGCATACTGGAGCATAGGAAAGCTCCATTGTTCGAACTCACTGTTCGCTGCTCAGTCAAGACAAATGATGGAAGTTTTGTTAGTTTTCTAACCCTTGAATGATCAATATAAACTTCATGACAAAATGGAACTTGGTTACGACTGGAAAAAGAAGCATGGAAAAGGATTCTAGAAGAACAAGACTACAGTTTGACACATGAACGAAAGGGAAAAAATTCTAGTTTCAGCATTCAATGCTCAAGGCCTGTTCCTCAAAAACTAATCGCCCTCGTCAGAGTCTTCCTCGATGACGTAGACCATGAACATCAGGTCTTCCACTTTAGGGATGAGGGGATCACCCGGCGGGACGACTGAGAATCCCAGGAAACTGAACACTCGGAGCAAGTTGACTGAAAAATACCAAGAGGAATAGTAAGTTCAAATATTTTTACGGGACTTTTCATATTGTCTACAGTGTTTGGAACTAAGCATGAAAGTCAAGGGATTCTCGTCATAACTAGTGGGACAATACGCTGATGAATTCAATTTTTTAATTCTTTATACACATATCGATCAGTCACACACTCGGCAAAAAATACTCATTCTTACCTTAAATGTTTTCTTTAAAAGCGGTTACACCATACATTTATTAGTACATAATATTTTCAACCATTGCACCATACTTGACACAGCCAACTGTAAATCATCAGTGTGGCAAAGTATTTGGCCATCCTGTCTATGAAAAAGATGGCCTACCCACCACAGATAAGAGTACATGCTAGTATCGTGATGCGTATTGGGACGTGAGCAAGGTATTGTGATGCGTATCAGATCACACAGTTGGTGTATCATCCCAGCCCTAGTGATAACTCTGATACTAAAACAGTTAATGATTAAGTGAGTGAGTGAGTATGGTTTTATGCCACTTATAGCAATATTACAGCAATATCATGGCGGGGGACACCAGAAATGGGCTTCACACATTGTACCCATGTCGGGAATCGAACCTGGGTCTTCGGCATGTAGAGCGTACGCTTTGACCACTAGGCTACCCGACCGCCCCGTTAATGATTAAGAGGGTTCTAGATTCAAATATAACATGAAAAGACCTCTAGCACTCCAGCTGCCCCCCAAACCCCACATTCATGCTTCATTTCAATCATGCATGATGCTTTGCATAGTAAAACAAATTTTTTAAAAATACAGAAAAAAAATATAAATAAAATGTGCCAGCATACATTTCTAAAAATTTGGAAGAAAATCCAATAATTAATTTATTGTGGTTTTTATAAGCATAATGTGGTTGTGTGATGCACGTTCCTGTGACAGCACTCACCTCTATCTGCACGGTTCTTCTTGAAGCACAGAATGACATGGCTACACTTCAGCCGGTCCTCAGCATACTCCAAAAGAGACACAAGACTGGCAACAGAAATAGCAACTGTAATAGGATACAAGCCACATACATCGTTCTTTCATTACGGAACCCAGATATTAGACCATTTCTGTGACAAATCCATCCATTTTATCATACATGTTTCTGACATCAGAATTCAGAGTTAGCACCCTTGAGCAGCCCACACTATTGAGTTACCTCTCTTACAACACTTTCCACTGGCATGTTAAAACTGTCATTCCCAATTGATTAACAGAATTAATATAGAGTCTCAAATGGTAGACTGATATGCATGAACTGCAAATAATACTGACCTCTCCTTGGACCCCTCCGGAAGGATGCCAGTAGGGAGCTCCACATACAACTTGCCATCAAGCAAAACAGTTTCCCAGGTAACCTCTAAACATTCCACGGGACGAATTTTGAAACACAGGTTGGCTGCAACCTGTGTCTGTTGTGCCAAGGAGTTCACGTTGGTGGTGAACAGGCCTTTAGCATTGACAGGGGGCTGTGCTAAAACCCCCACGCCGCTGCCCTCTGCCACGAAGGACATTTTGGATGCATCAACGGCGTGGGGAACATCAGGAGTACCACAGAGGCCCAGGACCCAGCGATATACAATACCGCTGGTTCGACATCCTGAAACACAAAAACAAACGTCTTATTGAAGAGGATGACAACATGTGGGTTGAAAAAATAACATCTTCCTGAGGCATGGGAGTCAACTGACTGTCCAGTTTCCACCCTTGCCAAACTACACTGGGATTTATAGGCTTGAACGCAGCGCCACCAGTGGCTAATATGAGTTATGTCCCTCCTATTGACCAATCAGATTCACGCTCTCATATCACTTGTTTTGCTTAAAACAAAATGGTGGTGCCCAGTCAAGACGATCTGATCTATAGTCAAGATCCATGTTGTAATAAACATGATAAAGAACGTCTTATCTCGCGAAGTTTATCAAGGTACCTTGAATACATGAACAGATTTGGAAAATATCTGACGACTTAGTGGACAGTACATATGCTCTGCGAACCCTGCAATCGACCAAAATCTGCACGGCAGTCGCTATGTTTATGAACCGAATGTCGATTTCCTTACGCGATTTGTATTGGACTATGAAAAACATACCTGGAAACAAGTTTGGAAGCCAGTGTGACCAAACTCAATGCTGGACACATGGTTTATCATGAAGTCAATAAGGGAGTCAGTTGGGTTTATCACAGTATTTAAGATATGTCACAGTGTGTCTGCTTGGTATGGGAGGAGTGAGTGAGGGTTTTACAAGACTTTTAGCACTATTCCAGCAATATCAAAGCAGGGACTCCTGAAGCTTCATCTGGAAGTGATGCTGCTCACCACTCTCGTGGAACCCACCTTGGTGCAACTAGACCAAGAAACATTATCAGAGCAAAACTTGGATCCCACGATGTCTAGTCCCAAAGGACTACAAATCTCTACAGATAATAATCAGATAATACAGACAGCATGTTTTACAGTGTTCAAAATTCAGCATGAAAATCCTCGATATGATCAAAATAATACAAGATTTGAAAAAACAGCCCCTTAATTATATCATTTTGATTTTGGATCCTTTATGTTGGCACAAAATATTGCTTTAGCAATTGGGAAATTTGAATTTCATAAAAATCAAACTAAGAGGCCAGATACCACCACGACAAACATTCAGCCCTTCCCTCAGTACTTGCCAAGTCAGCATTTCAGGTCTTGTCAAGGTCAAGCAAACCACTCAATACATGGCCTGTTGAACTCATACATTAGTAAAATAAAATAGTACTTGGCAAGCTCAGCAGGTGAAAGAATACGACAATCACATGGTGATTATTGAATCTTTAGGACATAGGTCAGTGACATTGTCACTACATAATGTTACCTAAGGTAACATGATAGTTTCAATTAGCCCACTAAGACAATAACAGGTCAGGAACTGTCTAACCTTGCCACGGACTAAGAATTACTGCTGACAAGCACAGAGAACAATGATCATGGCTCATGCCAAGCCACTACTTAGCGAAATAGGTTTAACCCAGCTTTCTTGTTTACATGCATTAGTATAATCACGAAAATGGCAACGAAACATCACTACTACGTAGGTAAACAGGTCAATCAATATCAGAATAGCTTGTTCAAACATATACACTCGTTCAAACATTCCTACAAAGAGTCAAGTCTTCTGAAAATACACAAATGTACAACCCCGTATCCTGCTGCTTTTCTACATACATAAAATCTTTTGTACACATCTCGGTTGTGATTACATAACGCTAATCAAGTACCGTATTCGGTGTAATAAGCGCCCTGCTCTAATAAGCGCCCATGGCAATATTTGCTAATATATTGACTTGTGAGCAATCCCAATTAGCACCCCTTCGGATTGATCAATGTACACAAGACTTATTTATTCGCGTATAATATGCACTCGTGTGTTATATGCACCCTTAATTATAGGCAATTAAATTCTGGAAAAAATATATATGTCGTGTACAATACACACAGACTTTTCTTTTGTATCATTTCAGGCTGTCAGCATAAACCACGAAATTTATCTTTCAACTCTGTTTTTTCCACCAAAATAATATTCTAATAAGAGCCCCCTATTTCTAATTTTGAGAGCGCCCTGCTTATTACGATGAATACGGTGAATATGTCAGGAGAGGAAAACTTATGCCCAATCCTTTTCCTTGTAAATAAAATGTTAAAATCACATTTCAAAATACATAAAAAATAATTTTGTTTGAAGCGAATGCAAGTGATACGAGACGTGGAATCTGATTGGACCATAGAGAGGCTTAAAAGGGACTTAACTCATAATAGCCACTAGTGACTCTACGATCGAGCCCAGGAATTCCAGCCTAGTACGGCAAGGGTGGAAACTGGATTTTTAAAGTCAATTAACTCTCTTGCCTCAGGAAGATGTATACTCATGGAATACTGGCATTTATCAAGATGTCCTCAAGGACCCGATATTCTGCACCAAGTCTGCAGCAAGACAGTAGAATTTCCCAAAAGGGGATTAATTAATTTCATGTTAATACAATTACAACTACTGTCATCGATGGTCAAGGTGACACATATTTACCAATAAAGATGAAGAGCCTTGAACACTTAATTTCTACTATATTGAAAGCAATTCTACAGTACATTATTAAGTTACTGATTCTTCAGAATACTTCCCAATTTAAAAAAGATACCAACATTATCTCAATTTGCCTGCCAAATCCCTTGGAATACCTCCATTTGTCATAATTAAGAGTAAATAAGTTCTGAAAAAGATCTTATTAAGGCCCCAATAACATATGGCTACAGTCCCTTCTCACCTTACCAATTGCCAGCCAAGGGGTGAAGAGGCTCAATGCCAATCACATGACAGAGTAAATAGTGATAATGAATGCCTATTGTCATGTCCCAACAGACGAAGGACAATTACACCAATCAATAACTGCAAGGTCTACTGACATCACCGGTTGTACACAACTCAAGGTGGCCAGCATTGATTTCCATATCAGCAACTACTATCAGCACTGCTTTTTATCTCAGAAGGCAAAGGGCTAGCTCTACTCAACCAGGGTAAAAAATTATCTTTTTTAGCAAAATGACAATTAACAAGACTGCACCTGTCAATGTATAAGATTACTAAGACCCATGCAGAATGATGCCCCATTTATCAAAATAGCATGTTCATATGTCGACAAGGCGTCTAGGGCATTGCAAAAGTTGTTCAGAATGTTCTCAATGTATTTCTTAGGCCCAGCTGTCACACAATGTTAACATCGTTCAGGTGACATTTGCTCATCTTAAACTGTACACCCAATTTCAGTGGAATTTGCTTGATAAATCAGTCAAAGCACCCAACCATATATATTTTGGCATTACTTTCAGTAGATTTTAGCCTTACAATATGGACTACAATATTAAAGCTGATCTTATCAGACCAGAAGAAATTTCACAAGACAGCAGCTTCGGACTAGTGGCTAAAATCGCTGACTGAAATACTGAGATTTTTATCTGGGGGCCCACTGAACCCCTAACTTTTAACATTAGGGTTGTAATCATGATTATTTTCATACACTGAGAGGCAATTGTATCGCAATAGTTAATGTCCCCCACCAGTAGTTGGCCCAAGGTTTTGACGGCACTTCTCTTCCCTGGCTTCCTCAAGGAGGACCGACGCTCGGAGTAGTTCAGCCTGTAACTTGGAGTCTGGTGTGATATGTACTGCTACCTCTGCATAATCAATAATCAATACCCCAAGTGATTTATGCTGATATGTTTACAAGCCCTGGCCCTACTGAAGCCCATTCAGTGATATAACATAGCAAAACCCTCAAAAATAGCACATTTTCACTAAGCCTTATGCTACCTTAACTACTGGGCAGACTTGTGTCAATTTCTAACGCTGCCAATTGATACAACAGTATTAATGCCCCCACTACACACCAGAAAACAATATGTCTGCTTATGCATGTGGTATACATTTTTAAACAGTTAAGGAAAAAAGATGTTTTGTTTGTCTGTTTGCTAAATCATGTAAATGGCACACACTCAGCAATATCCAACCATGCTGTCAGCCTGTAAATAATCAAGTCTGAATGAAACAATCTAGTGATTGATACTGTGAGCAAGAATCCATGCCGTCAGGATATGATGACACACAATCTAGTTACTGAGCCTGACCACCTGATCCAGTTGGCGGAATCTTACGACCACCTTAGTCTGTGCCTAAAAACTTTGGGTCTACTAGCCCCAACTTGGCTCATAGCAGAATTTTCCCCAGGTACTCAATACAAGGGCAATTACATATCATGACATATACCTTTGCTTGTAAGGCATTTGAGTTAGTTCCAACAATGTATTAGCATCATTGTATGATGATTTTTATGTCATAATTGGTTTATTACCAACTGTGCTTGCTAGACCTAACAGAATGTTACTAGGCCCGGGCTTCAGATTTGTGGCGAAAGTTGCAGGCTGCCATCTTACGACCAGCAACGATTGATGGGGACCTATTTCTAGCCTGGAATCTCCGGGCAAGGCTAACCTTAATCCAGCGTTAGAAACTGGCACTAGTCCTGTAGTCCTTGCCAAACTGCCCAACAGTTAAGGTATCATAAGGACAAGAGGAAATTTGCCATTATTATGGGTTTTGCTATATGTTATCATTATAAAGACTAGTGGGCTAAAATTTTAATGTTAGTTTCTACCACTGTTAATCACATCTAGTTCTTACCACCTTTGTGTTACACTTCAGTTGTTAATTCTAATCACATATTTGCTGTACATTCACTGGCATCCATGCATATCGGCTACAACATTCATTATGAATTAATAGATAGTAACAGATACTGTGTTTGCTCACATTGAAACCAAGGGATGTCGCTTCCTCAGTATATATCAAACCTTATTCCACTTTATTTTGATTCACAAAAATAATTATGAAAACAATTTCTACCAGAGTTATTTGTTTGTTTATTGTTGATGCACTCAGCAATATTCCAGCCATAGTCATGTGCAGTGTAAAAAATTGAATCTGGGCCAGGCAATCCAGCGTTTGACATTAGCATCAAGCCGTCCAACTGGGATACGATGGCAAGCAATGAACCAAGTCCCCGAGTATGACT